TGTGTCTAGGTAGAGATTTGGTGAATAAGTCCGCCAAATTTTGCTTGATTTAACTTGAAGAACATTGATCTCTCCTTCTTTATGCAGATCAGATGTTGAGAAAAACTTTGCTGAGATTTGCTTCGTTCTGTCTCCCTTGATGTAGCCTTCCTTGATTTGAGCTATGCATGTTGCGTTATCTTTATATATAATCGTAGCATTCTTCTTGATTTCTTTCAAACTATATGCTCCTTGTATGAGATTCATCAGCAATCTCTACCACGCTCGCTCTCGATCACTGTCGTATAATGCTATCAGTTCGGCTTGATCACATGCTGTTGTTCGTGCTTGCTCAGTCGACTTCCAAGAAAAGTTGTATCACCATAGGTGAACACATTACCTGTCTAATTTCACACTTAAATTTGGTACTTCAAGACCAAGTACTTCTTCGCCCTCTTCTGGGAGGCGATTAGAATGTTATGTATATATATATATATGAATGAACAACCATGGGTATGTTCAAAAGACTAGCTTTATCCATATTTCAACGTGTTAACATCTTCTAGACGTGGTTTAACTTATGGACAAATGGGCTATCATATAGGTGTTTAAAATACAATCCTAGGTATAATTTATGTCAAGATCTTCCATCTCAAATTCTCTCTTCAAGAGTTCAACAGTTTTTTCTCTCTTCAGGAGATGTAATGATATTTATACGTCGACGTAAACTGCTATAATAATGAATATTGAGAGCGATCCTTGAATGACAACACATAGGTTGATTTCAAATTTGTTATCTTTCTTTTTCGAGATATTCACTAGGTCAATTGTACCACATATGACCAGATTACTTGAGACCATTCCACGATCTCTTCACACATATCTCGATTTATTAATGTTATTGCTTCTGGCATTTTGAATCCTTCTGGGATTATTATCACACGGATGTCAATTTCAAGTGTCCCTTATAATTATGTTATAACGACATCCATATCATTTATTTGAAGTCCTTTTGAGATTGCGAGGCCAATTAAAATTATAAAAGGATATTTCATCCACTACTGGAGAATATGTTTCCTCCTAATCAACTCTTAGGATTTGGGAAAACTCTTGCCTTACAAGTAGTACTACATATCACACAATCTCATTCATTTTATTTCTGTTTATTACAGACACCCATTTATAACCTATTGGTTTGACGTCTATGGGTGTTCAGACTTCAGGTCCGAAAATATTTCATTTATCGAGTGACTTATATTCGACCTTCAGGGTCTTTTGCCATTTGGCAAATCATTTATGTACTATTTACATGTACTCTTATTTGAGTTTTAGGCATGTAATCTCTTTTATTGATTACATCCATTGTCATAGCATATGCAAGAATATCATTAACACGTGTTTCATTTTGGTTCCATATTGTACAGTCTCGTACATAATTAATAGAGATCTCATTTTCTTTCGGTACCGATGTTTCTCTAGGAAACTTATTCTTCTGGAATCATAGTAGTCTCTTCCAAGACATTTACCTTTTCTGGAGTTTCATTTTCTTCTGGAATAGTATTAGTCTTCTTCTGGGACAGTTACCTCTTGGGAATCACTCATAATCATGTATGTGGTTTCACTAATAGCATTTTTGCTATCTTCATTTTCGTGGGTTCATGTCTTTGAAGCTGATTATTCTCCCACAATTTCTTTGTATAATAGTCACTTTTGGGACTACCTTAAATCGAGCGATGCATAAGATACTGGTATATGTAATTTTGTCACTCTGCTCATATGTGTGAATGCATCTCATAATTCATTTGCTCTACATTCCAAATCGGACTTCAAAATCGCACTGACCACTTCAGGAGTCAAAAATTTACGATGATGATGCATTCCATGTAATTTCTTATATTACCAGTCTTTCTTTATTCACCTCTCCCCCTAAGACTGGGAATACTTTATCTCTTGTCAAAAACTCTTAACATTTAACGATTGACGAGGAGTTAAAACTAATGTCAATTACCCAATCTTCTCTTATTATCTTGGATGCATTGTGGGGGAGGGGGCACATAGGACACACAATCAAATATTGTCAAAAGGGACAAATTTGGTTCTCTTCGGGAGATATAAAGAGTAAGAAACTCAAAATTTTGAAGATTTGACATTTTATTTATAGGNCTCCCCCTAAGACTGGGAATACTTTATCTCTTGTCAAAAACTCTTAACATTTAACGATTGACGAGGAGTTAAAACTAATGTCAATTACCCAATCTTCTCTTATTATCTTGGATGCATTGTGGGGGAGGGGGCACATAGGACACACAATCAAATATTGTCAAAAGGGACAAATTTGGTTCTCTTCGGGAGATATAAAGAGTAAGAAACTCAAAATTTTGAAGATTTGACATTTTATTTATAGGAAAGGATTAATAAAAATTGAACATGTGTATATAAAATACATGTGAAGAAGAACTTCAAGTTCTCATATGTTGGAACTACAGGTTCCTTATAATAAGACCATTGTTTTTTTTTTAATGGTTGAAAAAAATGTCAAAAAGATTCACTTCTAACCAAAGCGTTTACAATTGACACATAAAATTCATAATGAGCACTTTATTTGCAATATCTTAGTACAATCTTCTTTCTTGAACTTCAGGTTCACATCTTCTTTAATTGAAGAATATATATAATCTAGCATATGTCATGGAATTTATCTTCCATTCAACTCCTTCAAAAATCTTCCCTCAGTGTCTACCTACCAATATGGTATCTTGATAATTTATCTTAATTTAAGCCCATTAAGCATCCGCTCTAAATATTTACCACATAAATGAAGATTAAAAATCTAGTATAAAATGATTTGTTCTCACAATCAAAAGTATATCCACCAATTCGATGCACTTTGCATATTAATTAGAGCTGTAGGCTCTTTTGTAGCTAATGATGTTCAACATAACCTATAAATTGTGTCCATAATATAATATATGGACAAATATCATAAACTTCAGGTTACGAGTTAATTGTCAACGAATATGACAAATATAACGATGCATCATATAAAACATTTAAATTGCCATCACGAATAGGTGATGGACCCAATCAATTCTACTTGAACAATTTCTTATTATGTATGAAATGAATCTCAAGTTTCATTAGTAATAATCTCATAATAATCTTCTAATGAGAACAAGGCTATAGGATCTTCTGGTCCTAATAATAACAGAAACTTCTAGTACTCACTTGAGTTCTTAATGATTTTTTTTTGTTACATCACAAACTAAATCGTGATAATTTAATTGGTTATGTTTAAAATAAAAATTGGTTCTGTAAACTTCCGGTTTACGTGAAAACAAATCTCGATCAAGTGTCATGTAATATTCATTTCCACTGGTATCCTAAACATTAACAGAGACACCTTAAACAATAAGGATTTGTCTATACCCAATAGAATATTCATCAATGCAGGACAATAACTGTCATCTCAAAATATTCAATATTTATGAGACTTTTATTACTTCTATTATGCAGCTCTTAATCTGCAATGCTTTTCTGAAGCTATCTATAAGTTTTGTATAACAAGAAAATTATATTTACACTAACTTCTTTAATTACAAGAGAAAAGAATCTCTTTCATCTAAAAAAATATAATGTGTATAATCACTCCTTTGATTATAATATATTTACTACATCATTCTTCAGGAATATTGATCAGGAATCATATATAGATTAGAACAAAGGTCTTGAAATATCAAAACGTGTCTGTATAATGAGATTTTTTTTTAACTAAAAATAAGCCACTTCAGGTGGCAATTAAATATTATAAGACCTTAGGTATCTCATATACCCATATATTGTGTTTGATGAACATGATGACTCTTATTTAATTTAGGAGATTATACATCTTAAGGATTTCTTTTCACAATTCAATATTCTTCAGGAATATTTATATTCAAATAGTCAATGTTTTTTTAAAAAAAAAATGCAATTCCATGTGACCATAATAGTGACTTTGATGTGTCCATATGTATAACCACAATAGTTGTGATATCCTATTATATTCATGCATGTTAATCAATATTTTCACTCGCTTCAGGGAATGAATATGTAACATGATTTTTTTTTGTCAAAAAAATCTTTCCTAACAATGGGAAAAAAAATGTAACCAAATATGGAGTATATGAATTTTTTTCTTACACTACCACTTTAGAGCAAATTAGATTCTCAAATACTATTTTGTAATCTAAAACCACATATAACATGCAATTACATATATTGGTCACACCAATTTTATTGCAACTTAGTGTATCACATTAAAATATAATATCATTGCATGAGGATAAAATGCATTGAACAATTTATTTGATAAAAAAGTCATTATGCTATTTTACTTCTGGAAAATGGTAAATCATGAGTACAAAAAAATCTACTTTTTTTTTAATTCTCTTTAAGAGATTATAGACTTTAGAATATATATCAAATTTGATTTACTTTGAGGATAAAATTTGACACTTCGATTAAAGTTCTCTTTTATATGTCATATACTCCGTATTCCTTTGATACGAATCAGCAAAAATATTTATCACATTTGGGATCAGGTAATAAAATATGTATTTTTTTTTACATGAACACATATATCAATGTTTGTGTACAATCACAACTTTAAGAAAAAATAGTTCAAGATTAATAGGTATATGACCAAGAACTAATGGTTCATCATTTTCTCTTTCGAGAAAAAATATAACTTTCAAATTGATTTTCTATGGTAAATTTCAAGAGTTTGAAAAAAAACCTTTAGCATCTTCACAATCGAAAAGCATTATACCTCATAAAAGGAAAATTATACATCTTTTTAGAGAAATAATAAATTTCAAACATGACTTGACGAAGTATTTGATTGGAATAGTTTCACAATGGGATTGGCGCACAAACAAAGACCCCTAATTGACAAGTTTAGATCAATAGAGTGAGTTTCACCCAAACATAACAACATAAGTATCAATCTACAATTACTTCTGGATATGATGTGAGAGGATTGTATCATAAAGCAAGGGACAACAACAACAAGAAGCCCAGTAAAGTCCCACACAGGATTGTATCAAACACAACAACATGTAATAGAAATACAAAGAGAGTGCCTAAATAAATTAGAACTACTTTAAAGCTAAAGCAGAGATATGTGGTTTTATGGATAGAAGGCACCAACCAATTCGCTAATATTATAAGGTAGGTGCTCAGATTTGCAACATCAATTTAAAGGTGAACGGGAAAAATCACCAAACTGTTCATAGAGTAGAACAGCTTAAAAGTAAGTTCATATAATCATGAGCAACTAAATAAGACTAAACTTTTGAAGGGATATTCAGTTAAGATCAAAAGCATCAAATGAAAAATTGTTGGTTGTAATTCCTGGGTGCACTATACCTTTGGTATGCTCAATAATCATTACATTGTTCTGCCACTCTTCTACTTAAGTAAATACTCATGTTTACTTCTCATCTTAAACCAATGGATCGTATAAACAACATGGATTACAGCACATATTTCAAACAAAGTTCATAGATTGCAATTTTAGACTTCAAATAGCATATATGTATATATGGCAGATTTACCAGGACCATTCAATTTTCAATAAGTAATTTTCCGAAAAATCTTAAATACCTGGACAAGCTGTAGTATCCCTCAATTAATCGAAAAAAAACGAATTTTGAAGCAAAGGGGACGCTGCCCTCTGCCGTTCCTCTTCGCCGGCTCTGTCCGTGCACTCCAAGGAAGAAGAAGACGCTGGTGGTGGTGACCGGCGTCTGACGGCGACGGAGACAGAGGAAGCATGAGTGGTTGACGATCAAAGGGAAAAAAAAAGGTGCGGTGATTTTTGACGTCGATCGGCAAAAACGCTCTTTTTGGTTTAGATGGAGATCGGCGGGGAGAAAAGGAAAAAAGGAATTAGGGTTTTAGAGTCTCGTCGTGCTGATAACGTGTTGTGAACTCGGTACTTTATTCATCATATATTATACATACACAGGAGGAGGTAAAGTCTAGGTCAATAAAGAAACAAGATATTCTAAATAATAGGAGTAATATATCTGCCATATTTAACAATTATAAAATACTTCATTTATGATTTTGAAAAATTCTTACATTAGTGGGTTAGTCAGTTTGGACTCGGTCAAGTTTGACCCATTTTTAGCGGGTCATTTCAAGTTCGGTCAACTTTGAGTTCGCTGAACAAAAACTTGTTTAAAACTTATAGTATTTCCGAGTCGAGTTTCGAGTCAAAAAGAAGTCAGATCATTTTTGTCTAATTCTATACTAGTTTTTAAATAAAATGAAATTTTAAGACCTAAAATTTATCTGGGACCGAGGAAGTACTCTCTCCGTCTTAAAATGATCTTTCTAGTCACTATTCACAAGGTTAAATTTTAATCACTTTCTTTATCTAATTTTTGTTAATTATTTGATAAAATAATATATTCATGTCATCTTTGTAGAACTTTAGATGTAATTCAAAAATAATAATTTTTATTTTTAAGTTTACATCTATAATTAAATAAATTAAATTAAAAATAATTGCAGTTAAACTTCGTAAACCGAATTAGAAAAATTATTCTAGGGATCATTTTACAATGTTGTTTTTTTTTTCTCAATAATATTTGTTGCTAAGAAGTAGTTATGAGACACATGTCCATAGGATCCCAGCTACCTATTTTCACTCCTCTTTCCCTTTTGACTTTGGACTCAGCCTTTGCAAAAGCATCACCACTAGAATTTCCCGAAAAACGGAAACCACAACTTCTCCATGCATGCTTTTATACTGCGATTCTGCACTTGCACCCCAAGTGTTTGCGGAAATTCCCCACAGAAGAAGATTTATGTTTTTACATTGCAAATCCGCACTTGCACTCCAAGTGTTTGTGGATATTCCTCACAGAGCTTTGGCACCACAACATGGCTTGCATGAGGCTTGGCTCCAAATCTGATGCATTTTACCGTGAAGGCCAGTCCTGGTAAACCCACCATTTCTATATATCTATTTGTCTGTGTGTGTGTGTGTAGATTATAGAAAATGACAACTCTTTGTGTGTTACAAAATCCATGGTTGGATTGAAAGATATTACTCGCTCCGTCCCAAATTAAGTTGTTTGTTTAGTATTCACATGGTCAAACTTCGTTCACTTTCTTTCTATGCTTTCATTGCTCATTTGATAAAATAATATAGTCATGTCACCTCTTGTTTCTTAGAGTTTTTGATGTAGTTTTTTAATACGTAAAGTTTATTTTTTTTTTTTTAGTTTTTACTTCAAATCTCTAATAAATTGCATTGAAAATGACTTGACGGTTTAAATTGGGACAGAGGGAGTAATGCGTAGATCGACCTCAAAAATTTCATAATAATCAAAAATCGTTTCGCCACCGGATCATACCATTCTTGTTTTCATAAGTTTTAAAACTTGATATTACGTCAATTTTGATTCAGAGTATGGTTTAGTGACAAAACGATTTTCGAATTGTTATGATATTTTTCGAGGATGATTTACATGCCAATATTTTTCATTAAGACTTGAAGGTTTTTATTTATTTATTTATGAATTGATTTCCCCTTGTTCTCATCTTCATTCTTCCAGGCACTGCTCGTCTGGCCTTCCAAGTGATGTTACAATCGAGATCGGAGAAATGTCGTTTTACTTTCACAAGGTAAAAGTATCTCGCGTTCTGTTCAAGAATCCGTGCTAGAACTTATTTAAGGCCCGGTCTTGAAATTAGAAAAAAATCAGACAGGCTCGGTGTGGAAATATGTTTTACTCCGTATTAGACAATCTCTTTGTTTTTTTTTTTTGTGTGGAGTACTTGTGTTTTAGAACTAGTATTGAATTTGATTATCTTCAACCATTAATATATATATGCCTTACCTAAAAACAAAACAAAAAACTACCTAAATAAGACTAAAATATGAAAGTTTGGTGAGGTTCAAATGACACACACAGAGAGTGTGTCATCCGATGATACCGGCTCTAATTCGAGCACCTACGGTGTTTCGATCACAAAACTGATTGTTTCAACCACCGAATCCTGGCAAACCTCCCACTCTGGCTTGACCAGAACCCACCCCCAACGCCTTCAATTTCATCCACCAGAATTTGATGACTTGATGGCCAAATGTTTTTACTCTAAAATCAATAAATTTGGGCGATGCAATTGAAGAGATTGGGGGTGGGTTTGAGTTGGGCTAAGGTGGGGGTTTACCGGGAGGGCTAGGAGGGTAGGAACTATCAATTGTGTGAACAAACGCTCCGAAATCTCAGTGACACCGTAGCATCAACTAGGACCAGTGTCAATAGAACCGCTTCAATGAAAGTTATACCAAAATAAGACCTTATATGTTTTTTATCCATTAAATATGAGTGTTGACATCCTAAAATGCCACAAATTAGCATCATGTGCTGACATTTTATAGTGTTTTTCTTTTCTTTTTTTGCATTTAAAGTCCTATTTTGGTTAAGAAAATATTGAAGGTCCTCATATAATATATTTGCATTTTTTTTTATTTGATTCCGCAACTCATTTGTTTGTTGTTTGTGATGTGTGTAGTTCCCATTGTTATCCAGAAGTGGGCTATTGGACAAGCTCATCAGAGAGTCAAGCATCAACGACGGATTATCATCATCATCATCATCATCAACCTGCATTTTGCAGCTGGGCGACATCCCCGGAGGCGCCAAGGCGTTCGAGCTGGTGGCCAAGTTCTGCTACAGCATAAAAATAGAGCTGACGCCGTCGAACGTCGTGAGCGTGCGGTGCGCGGCGGAGTACCTCCAGATGACGGAGGAGTACGGCGAGGGGAACCTCATCACGCAGGCCGAGGCCTTCCTCAACCAAGTCTTCGCCAGCTGGGCCGACACGATCAAGGCGCTGGAAACGTGCGAGGAGGTCCTGGCGCAGGCCGAGGATCTCCACATCGTCGCCCGGTGCATCAACTCGCTGGCGGCGAAGGCGTGCTCCGACTCCAAAACGCTCCTCAACTGGCCCGTCGCGGCGGCGGCGGCGGCATCGGCAGCGGAAGCTTTGAATCCTTCCCCGCGAGTGAAGGGTCTCGACTTGTGGAACGGGATCGTGAGCGCCGGGCCCGCGAAGCCGGCCGCGGTCCCCGGCGGCGGCGGGGACGACTGGTGGTTCGAGGACGTGAGCTTCATAAGCTTGCCGTTCTTCAAGCGGTTCATCGTGGCGATCGAGGACGGGGGGATGAGTTGGGAGCACATCGCGAGGTCCCTCGTGTACTACGCGACGAAGTACATCCCGCTGATGAACCGGCAGGCGTCCTTCAAGGACGCCAGCCAGGCCAAGTGCAGCTCGAAGATCTCCACGCCTTCCGAGACGGACCAGAAGGCGCTGCTGGAGGAGATCGTCGAGCTGCTCACCAGCCAGAGAGGGGTGGTGGAGACAAGGTTCCTCCTCCGGCTCCTGCGCACCGCGATGATGCTCCGGACGAGCCAGGTGTGCAGGGACAGCCTGGAGAAGCGGGTGGGGATGCAGCTCGACCAGGCGTCCCTGGACGACCTCCTCATCCCCAACACCGGGTACTCCGCCGAGACGCTCTACGACATCGACTGCTTCCAGAGGATCCTCGACCGCTTCCTGCTCCTCGACCAGGCCTCGGCCGCCGCCACGCCGATGATGATCACGGAGGAGGAGAACCAGCAGGGGGTGGTGGACGAGGGCGCCCACACCCTGACGTCCATCACCAGGGTCGCCAACCTGGTGGACTCTTACCTTGCGGAGGTGGCTCCGGACGCTAATCTCAAGCTCACTAAGTTTCAGTCCCTCGCCGCTGCCATCCCCGACTATGCACGGCCGCTTTCCGATGGCATCTATCGCGCCATCGATATTTATCTAAAGGTATGTTTTGTCATTAAATTTACCTAAATAGGATTAAAACATAACGACTTTCTCAATATAGGACCAGATGTTTTTATTTCCCAATGTAGGACTTTTGGTAATTAACAAGTAGTCATTATTCAAGTAAATGTCTAGCATTACTGGACATTATTCCTCCCACGAGGTCATTATTAAGTCTTATTTAGGGAATAAAAAAGTTTAAGTCCTACATTAGGAAAGTCATTATGTTTTAGTCCTATTTAGTGCAAATTTCACTTATTTTTTTTTCTAATTCATTTGCTCTTGAGAGAATTTTTAAAACAAAGCCACAAACTTTTTTTTATCTAGGCAGGTCCCATTGGAAAAATTTTGATTCTATTTTCTTGTGCTTGGTAACATAAGTGGTAGAAAATATTTTACTCCCTCCGTTCCTTTAAACACTTCCACTTTTGACTTTGGGCAAAAATAAGGAAAGTGTAATTTTGGTTGACTTTCCAATTTTGTCCCTGATAGTTTGGTTATAGTGAAAAAGTATGATGTGATAGGTAGGGTATGAAAAAGTAGGGGTAAAAGTGGTTTTTTAATAGAAAGTGGAAGTGTTTTAGAGAATTCAAAAAAAATGAAAGGGGAAGGGTTTTGTGGAACGGGGGGAGTATATGGAAAATTTTTTCAAAAATATTTTTTTGAAAAGCATTTTCACTTAAAAAAAAAACTCCCTCTGTCCCAAAAAGTTTATCCCATTTTAACTAAAGTGGTAAAATAAGGAGAGATATTTTGGTGTTGACTTTCCAAAAATACCCTTGATGTGATGAGTAAAAGTAAGATGTGATGGGTAGATTATTAGGAAAAAAGGTATGATGTGATAGGTAGGGTATGAAAAAGTAAGGGGCAAAAGTGGTTTTTTAATAGAAATGGGACGGACATTAAGGGACGCAATTTTCCTAGATTTTTCTAAAAAAACATTTTCCCTCTAACCAAACACACCATTAACCTCCAACCCTAGGCTTGGTCTTTTGGTTGAGTTGGTTTCGTAAAGAAAAAAGAAAGATCGAATCCAACGGATTAACTAGCTAGTCGATGTTCGTTTTCTCTTTCAGGCACACCCGTGGCTTACGGACTCGGAGAGGGAGCAAATGTGCAGGCTAATGAACTGCCAGAAGCTGTCGCTGGAGGCGAGCACGCACGCGGCCCAGAACGAGAGGCTGCCCCTGAGGGTGATCGTCCAGGTCCTGTTCTTCGAGCAGCTCAGGCTGCGCACCTCGATTTCCGGCTGGTTCTTCGTGTCCGATAATATGGAGGGGAACGAGGAGGGGAACCGAATGGAAGACATGAGGCAGAGGGTGGCCGATCTGGAGAAGGAGTGCGAGAACGTGAGGGAGGAAGTGCAGAAGCTGGTCAAGGCTAAGAGGGGCTGGAACATTTTCTCCCGGAGAAAGTCGCGTTACGGCTTTAAGGCGTCAAAGCCTTGCGCCGCGCCACCGCCCGCGCCGCCGCTTAAGGTGGAGCCAGTTAACATCAGCGCCAATGCAAATGGTAATTTGCCAAAAAAATAGTCTGCTTTTTTGTTTTTACTTTATCCATGAGTTCACAAGGATAGATAGCTATATTCACTTGGTTCATTTACATTCTAAGACGGTCTCGTACTATTCGTCAAGTTTGACTATTTCGAGTCAAAATTGGAGAAACTTTGATTATCAAATACGGGGTAAATAAAAGTTATGTCTGATATTATATTAGTACAAAAAATTATTTTATTGTATGCAGTGCAAATTTTTACGTAATTGATGATGAAAATTTGTTCAGTTTAACTCAAAAATGTCAAACTAGACGAATAACCTGAAATGGATGGAGAGTAAACTTTATTTTTTACTCCCTACGTCCTAAAATTAACTTGTCATTTGACTTTTCACGGTCTCCAATGGAATACTTTGACCACTGATATTTCTATTTATATCTAAGTTTATATATTATAAATATAAAATATTTCAAAACTATGTTTCAAAATAAATCTATTGATATTGATTTATATGAATACTCAATGAACATTTTTTTGTAACATGCAGTTAAAATTCAAAAAGTTTGACCATGAAAGTCAATCTGGAAAGTTAATTTTAGAACAGAGGGAGTATTATTTTTTTACACCAATTTATAAGTAGATGAGATTACATTTAACTTCATTTAAAAATTATAAATAAAAACAAAAAGATGAATATAAGATTACAATAATACAGAACACAACATTCATTCGTAACACCCTCCCACATGTATTTATTTGACAGTACAAAACCAAAGACAAATAATTAAAGAAACACAACCCCCACACCTTATTTTTATATATACTTCACCTTTTAAAACAAGACAACCTTATGGTATGTTTGGGAACATGGATTTGGATTTCAAATCCGGATTTGACTTAAATTCCATGTTTGGGAAACTTAAGCATTTTGAATTTGGATTTGAATCAAATTCTTTACATTCAAAACCAAGCTTAATTTGAAATCCATGCACCTCCCCTTGTCATTTGAAATTCAGGATTTCAAATTTTGGATTTGAAATGCATGAATTGAAATGAAATGCTAGTTGCCAAACACTACCTTAAGGAAATTAAAATACAAACAAACTTGATAGACAACAAATTAAACAAACATGCTTGGCGTCAAATCTCAANAATAATTAAAGAAACACAACCCCCACACCTTATTTTTATATATACTTCACCTTTTAAAACAAGACAACCTTATGGTATGTTTGGGAACATGGATTTGGATTTCAAATCCGGATTTGACTTAAATTCCATGTTTGGGAAACTTAAGCATTTTGAATTTGGATTTGAATCAAATTCTTTACATTCAAAACCAAGCTTAATTTGAAATCCATGCACCTCCCCTTGTCATTTGAAATTCAGGATTTCAAATTTTGGATTTGAAATGCATGAATTGAAATGAAATGCTAGTTGCCAAACACTACCTTAAGGAAATTAAAATACAAACAAACTTGATAGACAACAAATTAAACAAACATGCTTGGCGTCAAATCTCAATCGGCGCAGCAACGGTACATGAAGAACTTCTCCATCTGGCGGCCGCACTCCGAGCAGACGATCACCTCCGGGACGTCCCCCCCTACCCCGGGGAGGATGACGCGGTTGCAGTGGTGCGGGGTCCGGAGCCTGAGGAAGTAGGCGATGAGCGCCGGGACGAACCCCTGCGCCCTGGCGTCACCCTCCCACTCCTCGAAGCTCCCGAGCGTGTTCAGGAGAACGTCGCTCTTTGCGCGGGCCATCTCGAACGAGCCTCGGCTTATGATGGCCCACCCCTCCTCGCTCCCGTCGAACCCCAGCAGGGTCAGGACCTCGTCCATGACCTTGTCGTCCCTGTGCTTTCGCCCGAGGAGCAGCTTGGAGTACAGCATGCTGTTGATGCGGGCCCAGAAGTACCACACCAAGTTCCAGTCGTTCCAGCAATGGCTCAGCCCTTCTTTCGTTATCGTGTCGTTTATCTTCCGCACCCGCTCCCGGTTGTTGCTCTTCCCCACGTACACCATGTGGAGCTCGATCCCCGCTCGCTCCGCCACGCTCTTCACTAGACTCGTGAAGGATTTGATCCACTCTATGTTTTCTCCTCCGTAGAGACAAATGTATTTCCCCTGCTCAGACTGAAAATATCATTCAGTTAAGGGGAATTTACTTAAATAGCACTAAAACATACTCCGTAATGATTTTTCCTAAATAGCATCATATGTGTTTTTTCCTCAATATAGCACTATTAGTCATTATCCATTAGTCATTGTTCAAGTAAATATTCACCATCACTAAACTTTATTCTTTCTTCTGGACATTATTAAGTGATATTTAGGGAATAAAACAGTGCACATGCTATTTAGGGAAATGACTTAAGTTTTAGTGTTATTCACTACAAATATTTCTTCAATTAAGTCCTAACTAGACATAGAAGTGAAAGAAAAGTAAATATACTCCTTCTGTCCCAAAAAGAACTACTAATTGCATTGATAATGTTTGACTGAAGTTATTTTCAATCCAATTTGGTGAATAGTAACTTTTTTAACGGGACAGAAAGAGCATTTCGAAATCTTTGTGACTCTTTTCATTATTAATTAGTTTTTGAATGAAATCTCACAATTCTACAAAAAAAAAAAAAAGAAATGTACTTACCCATTCAATGATGTTTTGGTCAATTCCATCTACAATAAGTTCAATGTTCCAAGAAGGCTCCATGCTCCACAAGCTTTCCTCTTTGGCAATGGTGAAAGGATATGCCAAGTTCCCCCATATCCAAACCATGTGGAGAGCATTGAGGGATGCAACCTTGCCTTGGTGTGGATCCAATGCCACCAACATCATCTTCTTGGTGAAGTGCCATTTCTCCTTGACGAATTTGAGCACGGCGGGCTCTAGGAGAGAGGGGTGGTGCAGGGTGTACCACGGCATCATGGCTTGGCGCTCCTTGAACTTCGCGTCCATCTCCGTGTTCCATCCCATCGGCGTCGTCGTTGGCCTCTCGAGAATGGGAAGCCACACGATCTCGTACTGGAGCTCGGGCTTCGTCCTCGACTCCTCGTATATGTTTGATAGCACCGACAGCTCCTCGTCGGAGATGTCCAGGTCACTCAGTAAAAGCAACACTGTCTTCCTTCTAAGCACTTCAATGCTTGCCTTTGAATAAAAACATTATATTAAAAAAAAAGTCAAAATGATCTTTCACAAAATTTGGCATCACATGCCACAATTTATTGCAAGAAAAAAGAAAAGAAGAATATAATAAAACATGGTTAAAGTTGCAAGTACCCTAGTGTGAGTGGTTCCAACTTCAAGAGGAAGGATGTCATCTTTGTTGTAGATCAAGGCTTTGATAATCTTCATATTGTCAAAATGGCTTATCTCAAAGAGATGCACAACCATCCTGTAATACTCTATGTGCATTTTCTCCTCTGCAATTTCAAATCTTAATTACTAGCTAGTTTTGCTAAAATAATATAGTCATGTCACTTCTAGTTTTGTAGATTTTTTTCATGTAGTTTTTAAATATGTAATTTTTATTTTTAAATTCTATATTATTTTTCACATAAAATGATTTTGAAAATAATTTCAGTTAAACATCGTAAAGCACAACGGGAACTTTATTTATGGACGGAAGGAAAAATAACATCAATAATGAGATAGAGAATTAATCCCTTCGTCCTAAAATGTTCTTCTCAGATACTTTGTACTATTCACATGGTCAAACTATAATCACTTTCTTTACCTATTTTTCGTTACTTATTTAATAAAATAATATAGTCATGTCACATTTTATTTTGTAGACCTTTTAATTTGATGTAGTCTTAAAATATACGGAGTATAATTTTAATTTTTTAATTTTTATTCTTATAATCAAATAAATTAAATTGAAAATAATTTTAGTCAAATTTCGTAAATCTAACTGGGAAGATCTTTTTAGAACGAAAGGAGTAATTAAAGTAAAAACAAAATATATGGACTCACCAATATGTTGATTGCAAATTTGCAACTGTTCCTTGAGATGGTCACTAATATGGACCAGCTTGTGAGTGGTACTTGTGATTTCCCATGTCTCCATTGTCGTTGCTAGCAAGCTCCTATACAACATTTATATTCATAATAGTCTTTTCTTTTCCTTTCAAATTTCGTGTTTATTCAGAAATAAATACTGTTGTGTACATAATTCGATAATACGTACTCATAGTTGATGCCAAGAAGACTCGTGAGCTGAGCGGAGCAAGCGACGATGCTCTTGATGGTCCAATACACCGCCGTGGGGATGTGGGTTATGGCGACGGAGAGGGGCGGCTGGTCATCGGAAATGTAATTCGCCGGGAGCCTCTTGAACTCCATGATGCGCCGGGTGACCTCCACCACTGCCCTGATGACGTTGTTGACGGCGTCGAAGCGAGACTTCAGGGGCAACGCGTGCTCCACGATGTCTGGCACCTGTTTCAGTATCGCCACCGACTTGGCGAGTGGGTTGGTGGCCAAGAGCTGAGCCACCAGCCAGAACTCGCCGTAGGCGATGGCGAATGCCGCCAAGGTCAACACCACTTTTGCGTCCCATTGGTAGTTGGATAGCATGTTCAGTATCGCCATCGTCGCGGCGTTGGTGTCCCCGCCACCGGAGCATCGACATTGCAGCTGCGAGGGAATTGGGTAATTAATGTATGGATTGGGTCATGTTATCTTCAACTTATTCTTATCACTTACTCTTTCCCTCCCTAAAAACATAGGAGATTTTGATTTTTCAGGAATTTAAGGAGAATGTATTTTGGTATTGTGTTTCCAAAAATGTCTTTTGATGTGATGGGTAAAAATACGATTTGATAGGTAGATTAATAGTGAATAAATGTGATATGATAGGTACGTTAAGAATTAGTAGGGGTAAAAGTGACTTTTTTATAGAAATGAGAAATGTTTTTTGGGCCGAATGAAAAAGGAAAGAAGAAAGCTTTTCAGAGAGGGATGGAGTATGACCTTTTCTTTTTATAATCAGATCTGACCAGATCAGACAAGATTAGATCATATCAGAAATAGTTTTAAATATAACTACATTCAGACCAGATCAGACCAAAACTTATTCCAATCATAACAGAATCATTCAGAGTGGGTGAAGAGAACATAACCTTAGCAGGGAACGAAAGTGACTTTTTAATAGAAAGTAAAAAAGTTATAAGCACTAACGAAAAGTGAAAAAGGAAAGAATTTTAGGGACGGAGGGAGCATTTGACTAATGTTATTTTCAAATTGTTTTATTTAAATATTAGTGTAAAATTTAAAAAAATTAAATAAAATTTAATTATATGTTTGAAAACTACAGAGTATATAAAAAAGTTTTAAACAAGAGATGTCATGACTGTAAATGATAAAGTGTAGCGTTAGCATTTTGAAAAAGCTAAAGCGCTATAATTTTCAGAATTAATCTACACCATCAAAATTTTATCAAAAACGATAGCCTTAATAAAAAACGTTGTTCCTAAACAAGGTCTTAGATACACTATTAATTGGATTACGAACGAGCTTTCTGTTTTCTCAAAACCTATTGAAAAATTGTCTAAGATTTGTTTTGCAATAGCATTAAAGTTTAAAATTACTCTCCCTAATTTTTTGTGAATCTCTCAAAATACTTCTATTTTACTTAAAATATCTAAAATACAACCCCATTTCGTAGTTTGTTATAAATAAAAGATGTTTTGAGAGTATTTTAGACATTTTAAGTAAAATATAACTTATATAAGTGTTATATAGGGTGCACAAAGAATTAAAGTATAAGTGTTTTGTGAAACGGTATGAGTAATATTTATCTGACGACCGCATTAATTTAATTAATATTTTTAAAGTTAATCTAGATTTGAAAGGAATTAAAGGAGATGGATTAATAAAATGATTACCTCGCAAGAGACTTTGTGGGTGATGAATGAGAGTCCTTCAAGAATGCCATCAACAGCCATTGTAGCTTTCTCCTCTAACTTGGCAATGCTAGTAGCCATATTATTAGTGCTCTGCCACAAACATTATTAGATTTATATAATTAATCAATTTAATTAAATATGGAGTAAAATTTATACGGAATATCGATATAAAAATGATTTTATTAGATTTATCGTACGCAAACTATCGAAAATTTATTTCATTATATTAATATACAATGCAAATTTAATATAATTGATGATTAAAATTCGGACAAAATAATACAAAATGCAAAAATTTACGAGAAAATCGTCCTAAATAGAAGTAAAACATAGAGAAAATATCAAAATAGAAATTCTATATTTTTATTCTGAAAAAAAAAGTTTGCATTGTGCTAATTGATAGAATTTAGGATGAGTATGGATAATTGGATTGGGTGATAAGACAATTGGGTTGAAGCTCATTAAAAGATCGAATCCAATCGATTAGTTAGTTCAACTCAAGAGCTTATATACCGATTAACTTCCTTACTCTTTTCCGATGTAGGATGCACTCTAACACCCTCTCAAGTGGACAACCGGGTCATTTTGAATCTAACCGGTTGACCACTTGCAAATGAACTCTCATTCCCTTGACTTTCTTTTTTTCGAGCGGCAACACCTAAAGGACCACGAGCCGCTGGGTATGGACTTCCAGACGAGCAATCGTGTTAAATGGGCTACAAGCCGTTGGGTACATACTCCATACGGAACACTGGGCTAAAGACAAACGGGCCGCTAGGAATGAACGTCTAGACGGACACCTTGACAAATGAGGTGGGCCAAAACCTGCTCCGATACCATGATAGAATTTAGGATGAGTATGGATAACTGGATTGGGTGATAAGACAATTGGGTTAAACCTCATTAAAAGATTGAATCCAATCGATTAATTAGTTTAACTCAATAGCTTATATATCGATTAATTTCCTCACACTTTTCCGATGTGGGATGCACTTTAACACTAATGTTCAAAATATAAGTTTTATATTTTTATGAAAATTTCATAATACTCCTTTTTAGTAATGTATATGTTAATAATTGGCACTGTATATTCATTTTAACTCCTATTTTGAGAATAAAAATATGCAATTTCTATTCTAGCATATTTTGAATGTTTTACTCATATTTTAGTCTTTTTTTCCAAAATTTATTTCATTGTATTAATATACAATGCAAATTTAATACTCCGTTTACTCTATACACTCATTTTGACTAAATTAGATTCACTTCTTTATGTTATATATATATATATATATATATATATATATATATATACACACACACACACACACACATGTATGTGTGTATGTGTGTGTGTGTGTGTATATATATATATATATATATATATATTTTGGTTCTGGTGAGAAAGCAATCTTAGGAGAGAAATGAGAATGAATCTGGTGCTTTAGATTCTGCGATCTAAAAGCCAGGATTGCATCAAAATTAGGTGCAACAAAATGGTTTGAAAATGCATCACGTCGAAATGCATCATAATCCTTTGAAAATGCACTATCTCAAAATCTGAGCGCAGGATGCAATCTGAGCCGCACGATGCATCAGATCTAATGGCTAGATTTCATTCTCATTTCTCTCCACAAGGTGCATTCTCACAGGAACCAGCCCATATATATATATATATATATATATATATATATATATATATATATATATATATATATATATATATATATATATATATATATATATATATTGATTCTGGTGAGAATGCAATCTTAGGAGAGAAATGAGAATGAATCTCGTGCTTTAGATTGTGAGATCTAAGGGTCAGGATTGCATCAAAATTAGATGCACCAAAATGGTTTGGAAATGCATCACGTCGAAATGCACCAAAATCCTTTGAAAATGCACTATCTCAAAATCTAGGCGCAGGATGCAATCTGAGCCGCACGATGCATCAGATCCAACGGCTAGATTTCATTCTCATTTCTCTCCACAAGCTGCATTTTTACAGGAACCGGCCCATATATATATATATATATATATATATATATATATATATATATATATATATATATATATATATATATATATATATAGGGATTAACTCCAGTGATATGACACCTTACGGTGAGATGACATCCTACGGTCAGATGACGCAAAGCTCACCACTGCCAACTCCAAAGCTCACCAAGGACAACTACAAAACTCACCAAATTGTAAGGTAAAGCTCACCATATGTTTTCAACACTTTGAATTTTTTTTTGAAAAAATAAAATCAAAGAAAGGGGTGCTGACTGGACTTTGACCGTTGACCGAGACCTTTGACCGCCACCTGCTGTCACAGGCCACCGCCGGTGATCGGAATCTGCCACCACCGCCGGTCGCCAGAATCCGCCGCCGGACCCGTCAGTCGACGAAATCCGCCGCCGGGCCGCCTCTGGTTGCCGGAAACCTCCGCCGCCCCGCCGCCGGTCGCCGGGATCCGCCGCAGCCAGCCGCCGGTCGCCCGTATCCGCCGCCGCCCCGCTGCCGGTCACCGGAATCCGCCGGCAACCGCCGCCGCTGACTGGTGGTTGACCGGTGTTGCTAATTTATTTTTTTATTAATTTTAAATATTTAAAATTTAAAAAAAGGTGAGTTTTGGTGTTCAAAGTAGTGAGCTTTACTTTATTTCTAGGTTAGCTTTGCATTATCCATTGGTGAGCTTTGTAGTGTAGTGTGTCAAGCTCTGCGTCATCTCACCGAAGCATGTCATCTCACCATAATGTGTCTATCTCATTGGAGTCATCCCATATATATACTTCCTCCGTCCCAAATTATTTGCCACATTTGTATTCCCGAGGCAAAATATCAAGTTTTTTCAATTCATTTTATTTACATATTGGTATAGAAATAAAAAATAAAATTTACATATAAAAAAACTACATGAAAAGTTCTTCGAAATAAGAGGTGTCAAGAATATTTTATTTTATCAAATAACTAATGAAAATGTCGAAATAAACAAAAGTTCCCGCAACTGCTGAAAAAGCAAATGTGGTGAATATTTAGGGACGGAGGGAGTATATATATATATATATATATATATATATATATATATATATACACACACACACATACCTCAACAACCCCAGGGTAATTAGCTTGCTGAAAGATCTCCTGGATGACTTGGAGGATGACGTTTGCATCGACGTCACGGCCGTCGGGGGTATGAGTGTCTTGGATTTTCTTGACCATGTTATGGTCATCGGAGGCGGAGAACAGCTGCGGGGTCCGCCTTGCCAGCGGCTGAGCCCTTCCATTCTGCGGCGGAGCTAAGGCGGCGGTTGGGGATGATAGTGATCTGTTCATCATATCGGTCGGCGGAGGGATTAATTAAATTTAATTTAATTATCGTTTAGTGTTTAATAATTGGTGTGTTTCAAGCTAAGCATGCATGCTAAGATGTATATATAGTGGCTGGTGGGGAAAGGTATATAATGAAGCTGATTAAAGGAAGCCAAGTATTTTTCAGGTCCATATTCTTTCTTTATCAATTAAAACGTCATACTCACTATTTATGTAACTAAGTTTTAACTAAAAAAATTATATTATACTCGTGTCATCTCTTATTTTGTACGATGTTAAATCTAATCTTTAAATTTAAATAAAGTCGTCTTCACAAAAAATTTGTCAAACTTTGGTTGTTAATTACTTTTAGAGCAAGATTCTGTTGATACTGACATCCAGTCATTGTAATCCAGTGTTAACGATGACACTCGCCTATTTGGAGCGATTTCGGCAATCTGTTAATAAAATTGATGATTCCAACTCCCTCTAATCCCCTACCTAGCTAAATCCCCCACCACACCCACACTCATGTGTCCTCATCCCAGCCCCCTCTTTGTCTCTTTCAAATGTGTGGCAGCTATTATGCATTGAATAATATAATAGTCACACAATTTGGGAGCAAAGAGGAAGGCTAGGGTGGGGTAGGTGCAGAGGAGACTTGGGTGGGGTGTAGTAGAGTTTTAGGAAGGAGATTATGAGGAGCAGGAACTATCAGTTTTGTGAACGGGTCACTAAAGGTTCTCTAAATGAACGAGTATCATCTATTGATAGTAAATGTCAGTGTCCATATATAGAACATTGTTGTTTCTTTTAAGAATTTTTCTCTTAATAGGAGTGGTAGGGCTTAGAATGACCACCTCCAAAGGTTTTGGTTGGGAAACTCACCTAGGTTTAAATTTCAGCCGAGGCGAACATTGACTTTCTATGCTTCAATAGATTGAGATCGAAAGAACATATAAACAAATACTATATTGTATTCTCTGTTTCAAAACTAACTTTCAGCTGTGCTTTATGAAGATTAACTGAAGTTATTTTTCAATTCAATTTATTAGAAAATTGGTGTGAAATTTAGAAAATAAATTTATATATTTAAAAATTACATGAAAAGATCTACGAAAATAAAGATGATATGACTATCATATTTTATCAAATAAGTAACAAAAACATGCTTATAGAGTGATAAAGTTTGACAAGAGAAAAGTGAACAAAAAGTAATTAGTGAACCACATTCTTTTAACATGCACGCATTGTCAAAGATAATAAAAAATACAAATTGTAAACAACTTTGCTTTACAAATATAATGATAAAAAAACTACTCTATATAGTTTTGAAATTTATATTTTAAGAGAAGAATGATTTATTTATTTTGAGTTTTAAGAGACAAATTAAAAGAAAAATACAGAGTAATTTCACTCAAATATTTTGTAAATCAGTTTTTTGTAGAGCTGGCAAATCGGCCGGTTAGGTCGGGTTCGGGTTCGGTCACTTCAAGTTCGGGTTATTTTGTGTTCGGGTCAATTAAGGTTCGGGTTTGTATGTTCATGAGCTAGTGTCATCGGGTTCGGATCGACCCAACGGGTTATGACTTTAGTTTTTTAAATTTTTAAATTTACATTAACACTTACATTTTCTATTAAATAAATTTAAAATATAAAAAATGTATTAAATCTATAAAATTATTTTATTTTAAACTCTGAAGTAATTTTTAGATATATAAATCAATAAAAGAAATTCAAAAATGTTTAAATTTTGGAAAAAATAAGATAATTATGTAATATCATTACTCCCTCCGTCCGAAAATGTTCTTCCCATTTGACTTTTTACGGTCTCCAAGATTGCACTTTGACCACTAATATCTTTATTCATACATTGATATATCTTATAAAAATTTGATATTTGAAAACTATATTTTAAAATGAATATATTCATACTAAAGTTATATCGTAATACAATGTATTTTTTTCCACATATCATAGTCAAAGTTTACAAACTTTGACCAAGAAAAGTCAAATGGGAAGAATATTTCCGGATGGAGGGAGTAAAATTTTTTCTGAAAATATAAATTTATACACTAAAAATGAGTAGTAAAGTGGATGATTTTGAAAAATTCTTACTTTAGCGAGTCGGTCAGGTCGGGTTCGGGTTCGATCGGGTTTGACCCATTTTTAGCGTGACATTTCGGGTTCGGTCATCAAAACCTTTGTTCAAAACCCAGTGTTTTCAGGTCAGCTTTCAGGTCAAAAACAAGTCGGGTCATTTTTTGTCAGGTCTAGTTTTTTGAGTGGAGGATGGAGCTAGTATGATGCTAAGTTGACTTTTTTTTAAAAAAAAATAATAGGTTAATTGGATTGTTTAAATGTAAGAATGCACTGGTTCCGCTCCAAATACTATACCCCTCTATCGTGATTTATCCTGAATTAATAATCTCAGTTTATTTTTTAGGTTTGTTTTAAAATAATCATCTCATTTCTTTATTTTTCTGATAAAATAAAAATATGTAGTCTACCATTAAGGCATTAACCCGACACAATTATTATTAAATGTAAAAATACATAGTTGATTTTTGTGCAGATGAAAGAAAAATGAGAAATTTACCTAAATAGAACTAAAACATAATAACTTTTTCAATATAGAGAATACAAAAGTTTAAGTCCTACATTAGGAAATGAATTATGTTTTAGTCCTATTTAGTACAAATTTCACAAGAAAAATTGCGAGCGTGATCGAACCATGCATGCAACTCATTCTAATCTACGACCAATTGATATTCTTGTGTTTGGGTCGTGGGCATGCAGGGTCGGGGAAAAAGCACGCTTGTGTGAACAGTGGCGGATCCATAGCTTAATAATTGGGGGCAATGGCCCCCTACTAGTTTTAAGTTTTTGTTTATCATGTGTATTGTGATACTTTAATTTTTTAATTTTTTTTAGAGTTATGTAATATATGACCCCAACTAAAAATATTAGAAACCCTAATAAAAAGTATTAGAGGCCTCAATTAATAGTATTAAGTAAGAAAAAACTGAGAGAAATCAAATATTTAGATATTAAAAAAATATAATTTTAAAGTGAAATACTTTAAAATGCAAAGATAAATTCTAAAGTAGTACACTAAAAATATACGGAGTGATAATTAAACTAATTTATAATATTGGCATTAATTTTTTTACTATTTGAATAACTATTTAAGGGTAAGTTCATTTTTTTTAAAGTCTCGCATTGCATGTATAAAAAAAAATTGGGAAGCTGTCCAAGAACACTCGAAAGGTGACCCCTACTATTTAATATCCTGGATCCGCCACTGTGTGTGAACCTTACATGAGTGTTCCCTCTTATTTGACTCGAGAACAATGGGTTTATTGACTGGTCGCCTAGTCGGGCCGCATTGAAGGAAGAATCTGGGAATGTCGCTAAACACGAGAAAACTTGTGTAGAAAATCAATATTCCTCGACTCCTGAAATTCATAACTTATAGCATTACTAATTATCTTGAATAATGTTAAATTTGGGATGAAGAAAAACACATGTGGTGCTATTTAGGGAAATTCATTATATGTTTTAGGGGCTGTTTGGCAACTTCTGAATGGGTAAGTGCTGAATCAGTAAGAGGTCTGAACCATTAAGTGCTGAACCAGTAAGAGATCTGAACCATTAAGAGCTAGTATATTTCTTAACTATTCAGAGGCAAATGTCTGATCAATTCAGATAAGAGGTATTAACCATTCAGACTCTGTATAATACTTAACCATTCAGAGGCAAATATCTTAACCATTCAGACTTCTGACCCATTAAGAGGTTGAAACAAACAGTCTGAACCATTAAGTGCTGAACCATTCAGACATCTGAACCATTAAGAGGCTGAAACAAACAGCCCCTTAGTGTTAATTAAATAAATTCCTCAAGAAACAAAAACAAAAACATATAGTAATACCTTGCTTGTGAGTTGGTTTAGTGATCTGTTAAAGGGAAGACTGGGAAATCTGGATAATGAGATGTTGGAAGAAGATGATAACAATTAATTACTGTATTATATGACATACTCCATCAAGTCATCCACTTTGCATATGGTCCCATATATATCACCTTTTCTTTACAGTTTACACACAAAAAGAAAAAGAAAAACATTATATTCCATCTCTAACAAGCTCTTAAAAGAGGCCAAATAGCCACCCCAAAAAGATATACAGTAAATTTTTAAAATAGTATTTGATAAATATGTATTTTCTTAAATTAGTTCTCAAAATTTACTAAATATCGAGATGATATTCGTTAATTGAGAATAATGCTCAGTTCAGTCCCTCAACTAACGACGGCCGTTAAAACGACGTTAAAACAACGTTAAATCTTATACTAATTTTCTAAAATGATACTTTCAACTGGGTATTTTCTGAAACTGGTCTAATTTTGAAATAAAAATAAATTATATATGGGAAAATATTTTAATTTTTTAGGATAAGAATATAATAATAAAAACTATAAATATATTATTACAAATTTGAAAATAAAAGCTCTATATTATTTATATAATGCTTTTAGTGTCATTTGCTATTTTATGTTATTGGATTGGGAGAACTCCCTAAATAATGATAAAAACTATGAAAATATAAAAATATGAGTCTTATATCATTCAAGATGAAAATAGGAGTTTACAATAATTTTAATAGACGTTGTTAATGAGTTCGGAGGTATGAAGTACACACTCATTCAACAATATTATAAATTTCGTAGTAGAGCTGCGCTACTCCAGAGGCTATAGCCCCAGAGGCAGGATCCAAGGGGCGGCGACCCCTGCCAGCATACAACGGAAAGAGCCCCTAGTTAGAGTTGACCCCAGATCAGCTTGGGAATTTATATATTGGACACTATGAAAATGTTTAAAATTTTTGTGAAGAGAGTGTAAACCAATTTACATTCAAATATGACGTTTATCTCCAACATTCTTTTTGAAATGGCATGCAACATTCAAATTCTTAGCAGTAAACATTCAAATGTTTTGTACTTCCTCCGTCCCAAAAAATTTTACACATTTTGACTAAAGTAAAAATTAAGAGAGGAATAATTTTGTGTTGACTTTCCAAAAATAACCTTGATTTGATGTGTAAAATTAGGATGTGATGTGTAGATTATAAGGAAAAATGTATGATGTGATAAGTAGGGTTTCAAAAAGTAAGGGGTAAAAGTGATTTTTTAATAGAAATGAGTAGAAGATTGTGGGACGCACTTTTTTTGAAAGGTGTAAATCTTTTTGGGACGAAAGGAGTATTTAATATTCAAATGCATCACGAAAGAATGAAACAATTTATACAAAACTACATAGATAAAAAACTATGGAGTATTTGTATATTAACCTATGCACATGGGAATGATTGAGTGCAAACATATGAATGTTCCATCATAGAAAGTTGTGTTGCTTAATGGCTTATAGTTATAAATAAATGAGACCACGATACGTTTCGAGGATATACAATTTTCATACTAGATCTATGAATGAAGTATTTTTGTATATCCGGAAATGAAGCGTATCAAATTTAAATGGTGAAGTTTGTAGTCAATAGTACTAAATCCTAAGTTTTTTCTAATGTAAGACTTAAACTTTTTTATTTCCAAAATGATACTTAAATAATGTCGAGCGACGGGAACAATGTGCAGTGATAGTGGACATTTAGTTTGAACAGTATCTAGTGAAGCGATGAACATTTACTTGAATAATGCTTAGTGAATATTGAACAATATTTCTATATTGAAAAATAAAAATATATACTCCGTATAATATTACATTGAGAACATCACTATATTTTAGTACTATTTATGTAAATTCAACATTCAAATGTACGCTGTGCTATTCTAAAAAAAATTTTACTCCTTAGCCCGTATAGTATTGACTATTGAGATGCCGCCTCACTCATACACCGCAGTAGCGTGCGCTCTTCGCTATCGTGCGCCATTCAAGCCGCATCGTTTCGCCGTCACCGACCACCACCGCCATCTCCTCCGTCATCCGAAGCCTCGCCTTCCTCCCGTAGCCCACGTCTCTTCCTTCTCCTTCTTTCCGGCTCCCAGCCTCTACACGGGGAGCTCTCTCTTCCCTGCCATGGAGGTACGGTTCTCTCTCTCAATTGCTTGCTCGTTTACGCACTTCTCAAATTGCGGAATTGTCGAGCTTGAGAATTTTTCACTGAATCGATTATGTATTAGAAATCATCCTATTTGGTAATGTATATGACCATGTTTGGTAATGTAAGTCCTATTTCGAGAATAAAAACATGAAAGTCCTATTTTGATATATTTTCAATGTTTTAGTCCTACTTTGGTATTTCTCCCATTATGTATCGGTTTCTGGTGACGATTTGGTTCATTCTGAGTAAACTGGAAATTACAGGATTAGAAACGTTGAAGCAACAATATGTTTTATGCACATTGGAAGTATTACTATATGGTATGGATATGCTGGTGATTGAATTGTTTTCATGTGAACTGTATTTGTGTTCTTGAATCATGTTTTGAGATTAGAGAAAGAATTTATGATAGTTGAGATAAAGTTATTGTGGAGAATGGTTATTTGATTAAAAATTAACAATTATATGTGTACTTTAGGTCTCTCAACTTTTGAGTAGGGATAAGGTTGGGTATATGAATCAAATTAAGAAAGATGAACTGTGAAAGAATATATTATGGATGTGTTTGTCAATCTTACATATCAGCGAAGGTGTATTATTAGGTGTCTTAGGCAAAGCCTAGCCCCTACTCTCTCTTCCAAATGCTGATATATCGCACTCCAAACCACGATAGCCCCACCGACCTCCGGTGCACCTTGCCATCATCTGACGTCAGCCTTTTGCCTTTCGGCAAGGGTGTTTATCAGTTTATCCACACCCTCAACAGAATTTTGCATCTCTTCTTGGCAAATTGTAGTGACCCATACCAGTATACCATTAACGGACTGAAATACCAGTACATTGTTAAATGCCATATGTTCTTTATGGGCCTATGTGTGTCCTATTATTTCAACATTGTCTATGTTTTGCACACAGCGATTTTGTAGTGGAAGCACTTTGAATGGAAATGATAGAATGATTATTCGGTTGAAGAGTATTGGTGTGATCAATTCAGAGTCCGTAGCCGAAGTGATGCGAAGTATTGATAGGGCTTTGTTTGTGCCCAAGGACACACCACCTTACGATGACAGCCCAATGAGTATAGGTTTCAATGTCACTATCTCAGCACCTCATATGCATGCGATGTGTCTCGAATTATTGAAAGATAGATTGCAACCGGGCATGCATGCCTTGGATATTGGTTCAGGTATGAAACCAGAAAGTTCACAAAATTCAAAAGAATGTGCAGTGTTCTTGGTGGGGTGAATATTTGAGTTATCAATTATCATTGTGATATGGCTTGAAAAGATTTGTATGGTTGGTAGCATAACTATCATTGTGCATAATACCTTGGTCAACTTATGGGGTTTCAGCTTGCTTAGAATAGAACACCATCAAGTACAGTTATTTTTGAGAAGAGGCTTATGCAGTTGTATACTAGTACATTAATTCTCCAGCATTTAGATTTGTCCTGTTGCTGAAATGTGTCTATAAGCAGGAATAGGCTTGGCTTGAAATTTTACCTGAAAATTGTGATGTCCAAATTCTTTTTAACCTTGTGGGTTTCACTCTATGTTTTTTATGGTTTTTTTTCAATTAGGAACTGGGTATCTCACAGCATGTTTCGCTCAAATGGTTGGACCACAAGGTCGGGCAGTTGGTGTGGAACATATCCCTGAGTTGGTTGCCTTGTCTGTACAGAATGTTGAGAAAAGTGCTGCTGCTCCATTACTGAAACAAGGATCCCTCTCACTGCATGTTGGTGGTATGTGTCTATTTTAACTTATAAATATCCTAACAGAAAATGCACTTCCCATTTCACCATGAATATTGATCATTGTAGATCCCGTCTAACCCGACTGAGTGTCCGTTTTCATTGCTTGAATGTGTATCTTTTGACTCACTTATTGGGTGAAATGGAAAATTCATTCCTTCATTAACTTTAATAGTCATTTTAGCAGAATAACTCTTACTAAATGGGAAATACAAGCAATGGTGAAAAGTAATATGGAATACTCTACCTCTACCCCAAAATAACATTTTGCAATTGACCGGACACGGTTATTAATAAAGGTGAAAGTGTGTGGTTAAGTTTTTGTGCAGAAGAGAGCAATTCCTCAAAAGGAAAGAAATTTTTTTTGGAGAAATTAAAATAAGAAAATGTGGAACCTTTTTATCGGGTAAAAGCAGATCTAGAAAGAGTTGGAGAAGTTTATTAGATAGGACATACGACTTCTATATGACCTTAGATAGAAACGTCTTGAGGTTTAGAATTAGAGTTATTCGGTACACCTTTGGGCCTTAGTTTGTAGCATGTGCATGTGTGCTTTGGGTTTATTTGCTAGTGTCGTTATGTGTGCATTTTGTTGTATTTTGACTTTGTTTGTGCTACTGTATGTGTTTACTTTGGCTATGCTTCTGTGTTTGAGTTTTGGTCTCTTGGACATAGCCTTAGGGTATGACAATTATTCATGTGGCAAAACTATATTGTGTACTAATTATGGTAATACAGATGGAAGGGATGGTTGGCCAGAGGAGGCGCCCTACGATGCCATCCACGTGGGTGCAGCAGCAGGCGACATACCAAAACCGCTCATCGATCAGCTGAAACCAGGTGGGAGATTGGTCATTCCCGTGGGGTCTGTTTTCCAGGAGTTGATGGTTGTGGACAAGGATCCAGATGGCCACATCAGCGAGCATCGGGAGACTAGTGTCAGATACGTTCCGCTTACCAGCCGAGAAGCTCAGTTAAGGCGCCAGCTGTAATAAGACCACTCGCGAACCCCTTCTCTACCCTTTGGCTTTTCGGTACGTCTTTTAGCTTCATATGGGTTTTAAGCTATGATAACCTCTGCTCTATGGATGTATATAAAATATCATTACCAGTTTACCAAAATATGATATATATACGTAGAGTGCCTTATAGTAGTACTTTACCAAACGTTGTGCTATCTGTTTTCCGTGGATGATTTGCTATATACTCCCTCCGTCCCAAATTATAATGCATGTTTACTATTTACAGGGTCAAACTTCATTCACTTTCTTTCTCTATTTTCGTTAGCAAATTGATAAAATAAAATATTGTTGTCACTACTAGTTTTGTAGATCTTTTGATGTAGTATTTTGATATGTAATTTTTATTTTTTAATTCTATACCATTTGTCATATAAAATGATTTGAAAATAACTTCAGTCAAACATCGTAAACCGAAACAGGCGTTATAAAATGGGACGGAGGGAGTAAATATANTATTTACAGGGTCAAACTTCATTCACTTTCTTTCTCTATTTTCGTTAGCAAATTGATAAAATAAAATATTGTTGTCACTACTAGTTTTGTAGATCTTTTGATGTAGTATTTTGATATGTAATTTTTATTTTTTAATTCTATACCATTTGTCATATAAAATGATTTGAAAATAACTTCAGTCAAACATCGTAAACCGAAACAGGCGTTATAAAATGGGACGGAGGGAGTAAATATATAGGGTACTCTCTATATACGGAGTACTTCGTATTTGTTCTCTATAGGGTTTGGTAAATATATAGGGTACTGTGTTTTCCATGGATGTTTGGTAAATGCTTGTCTATTAGGCTAGTAGGTGTGGTTTTGCTCATCACACCTATCATGCCATCCTAATCAGCTTCACATCAGCTTTTTTTCTTTCCAATTACCGTCCATCACTGGACAGAGATGTGGAGGATCACACCCAAATTTTTTTCTTTTTTAAAATTCATTTAAATAAAAATTAACTTAAAATAAATAAATATTGTAATTCATTTACAATAAATTTAAACTACATTGATGCGATAAAAAAGAGTAGAATAAAAGTACAACTAGTTAAAAAAGTTAAAAATTATTTGTCATCCAGAAGTGATGGAGCAAAATTCATAAATGCTCAACCAAATTGGCACAGAGGTTGTGGTACATATGTGTGTTATATTACGCAAACCTGTTGAGATCTTGTTGTGCTGCATCAACTAGTTCAACGTGAACATTCGATCTCGCTCATCGTGTCAAATTTTTTTCATTTATTTAAAATCAAGATTACATAAAATAAAAACATTTAAAAAATAGTTCATTGAGTATTAAACTTAAAATTACAATGATGTAATTAAATTTCGTATTTCATCAATTTACAATTTCTTTTCTTTTAATTTAATTAACCAAAAAAAACTTAAATTTAAAACAAAAACTAAAAAAAAGTAATATTTAAAAGTAAACAAATGAAAGAAGGAGATGATGAAAAAGAAGATAGAAGGGGAAAACAAGAAGATAAAACAATGGAGTAAAAAAAGGAAATAATAGCCGTGAAGCCGTGATGGGCATTACCACCATCATGCTCACGGGGAGGGGGTGGTGTTCCCTCTCCATCACGCGGCCTATTTCCACCCCACACCGCATAGTCTTATCTCCATTAGAGAGGTTGATCCTGGTCCACAGGGTCCTCTCTGGGGCTGATAAGACATAAAAAGTAAATTAAGCTATAATCTTAGTTTAACTAATAAGAAGTGATTTATTTTTGGTAAATGCAAGGATTTCATCTAATGCATGATTGTCAAGTATTATCTTGCTTTGCACACTCTTCTTTGTTATTAAAGTTATGTCCCCAACACTATCTATCTTCAGAAACATAGAGGAACTTGAGATAGGAGAGGTGGAGATATAAATAATTTGAGTGTTTCTCTCGGCTTATAAGATGGTCAAAACTGTTTATAAATTGTTTTTAACTCATAAGCCAGATGATCACGCGTTTCTCTATACTTATAAGCGGACTTATAAGTTACTTATATTAGTTAAAAAAATTAGTACTCCGTAGATTTTAACTAATTTTTTAACCAGCTTTTTAGTTTCTTCATAACTATTATGAACATCCTCAACCTATTATGCATATCCTCAAGTGACTTATATATCATTAAAGTCCTTTTATCTATACAAAACAATTGTTAACTTATAAGCATCTTATAAGTTAAAAATTGTTTATCAGCAATAAATATAGGAAACACCAAAATATTTTCCCTGTCTCTAAATAAGTCTTTTGCTTCCTTTATTTGGATGTTTTAAAATAGATGTCACATTCCATTTAGAAAAAGAAATGAGTTCTTCATATTTCTCTTTCTTCTGTTTCACTTTTTTTTTCAAATTTCATGAAAGTTAACTCTGGCCATTTATATAAGACGGATTGAGAAACAAAAAACTACTCCATATTTTTTAAGTGTCTTCAACATTACAGAAATTGTGTTTTTATGTTTTAAGGAGGTGAATGATGAGAATATGACAAGTTTAAATAAGAATAAAGCTAGGGGTACACAAAAATAAAACACCCTATTTGTACACCAGAAAAACACCTTTAAATAATTATGGAAGAATAATTGTCTTACAGAGTATAAAAATCAAAAAATTGTAATCTACGATTTCAAACAGGGGGTTATATTTAATAAGTGTGTGCTTAATAATCAGAAAAATGACTTTTAGAAAATGAGTAATTTCATTTTGAGGTCATTTTCTTTTTATACTATTTGATTGAAAGTTTGAAAATTGTACTCCATATATTTCTATTTGGCTCATTTCTAGAAAATAAGTATTGCAAAAGGAGAAACACTCAACCCAATATTCAAGCAAATTAACCACTATATATTCAAAGTTTAGAAAATTAGGTATTCCAACCGTTTTAATTTAAGTTGCATGTTTACCACTCAAAGTCAAATTTTATTCATTTTTTTAAATCTATTTTGTTACTTATTTGATACTGAATAAGGATAACAATATAAACCGAATTGGACCATAATTAATCCAACCAAAATTGATTCCGAATAAAAAACGTGAATCTAAACCTGACTCGCCTAAATCAAACTCAAACACGAACTAAGTTAAGTTGGATTCAAATATACTAAAACACGAACTGAACAACCCGTTGTCATCTCTAGTTTTAATAGAAAAAGTAACTTCCAGAAGTAATTTTTCTTCTTTTCAAACGGACCCTAACACTATGTTTGGCTCAAGGATTTTGGAAGGAAAAGAAAAGAAAATAGTTTTCTCTCATTTTCCTCACCAAAATGGAAGAAATTTGATTTTCCCTCCACCTTGTACATTTTGCCTCCTCATTTTCTTTTCCTTCCACTTTTCCTTTCTTTTTCCCTCTAACCAAACAAGAAAAATGGTTTTTCACTTCATTTTTTTTCCTTTCCCTTTTAAATTCCTTGAACCAAACATAGTGTAAATGTTACGGAGTACTGTGTTATGAGGAAATGCGTCCAATCTGTTTGGTACAATAACAACAATTTCTGAAAATTTTGAAATGAATCATACTACCTCCGTTGATGACATTTTTTCCAGTTTTGACTTTTTAGATCAACCATTTTCAACCTTTGATCTTTAATTAAATACAATATATGTGGTATATTAATAAGATTGAATAATATTTTGAAAATATTTGATATAAGAGATCTAATAAATATCTAATACTCCCTCCGTTTTTTAAAACACTTCCTCTTTCATTTTTTTCACTTCCAACAAAACACTTCCACTTTCTATTAAAAAACCACTTTTACTCCTACTTTTTCATACCCTACCTATCACATCATACTTTATCTCTAATAATCTATCCATCACATCTTATTTTTACCTATCACATCAAGGACAAAATTGGAAGTCAACTACAATTTAATACTTCGTTATTTTTACACAAAGTCAAAATAAGAACACCTTTTCCAAACGGAGAGAGTTTCATTTTTATTTAAGTTGAGATCAAACTATACTAATTTTGATCAAAAAAAGTCAAAATAGGCAAATATTCAGGGACGAAGGGGTACATTTTCTAATAAATTGATGTGTGCTGGAATTAATGCAAATAAAAACGCTAAAACGCATATAAATGTTCAAATATAAAATGTGCATCTTCTTGGGAAGGACAAGTATTCCTTAATATGTTTGGGACTTAGGAAGTAAATGTATTGGAAATATAGCTAATTTGATCTGATTCTGATAAGCATAAATAATACGGAATAAGTTGAAAAAATAAGTTAAAGAGAAATTGACCAAATGAAAATGTACAATTCGGAGACTAAATCCAAACGATGAGAGTATTTAGAAAAATTGATACTCCGTAATAATAAAAGTTCTCCTACAATCTGAGAATTAAAAATTTTGGAAAATATACACTAATTCCCATTACAGATACAACAACAACAACAACCCAGTTGAATCCCACTACAGTAGGGTCTGGGGAGGGTGTGTGTACGCAGACTTGCCCCTACTCGAAAGTAGGGAGGCTGTTTCCAAGAGACCCCCGGCTCAACCTGCACAAAAAATATGGTAGAGAACACAATATAACAGGATAACAAGATATAGCAGGATATAACAAGATAAAGCACCAAGTACAATGAAATGAAAGTCCAGCAAGCAAAAGTAGAAGATACCAAACAAACACAACACACTACAAAAACCTCTACAGCACCGAGCTCCTAACCAGCTACTCTAATCCTAGTCCTCCAAAGGTTCCTATCTAAGGCCATATCCTCAGTCAGGGTGAGAAGTCCTAAATCCTGCCTAATCACCTTCTTCCAATTCTTCCTAGGTCTACCCCTTCCCCTACTTCCCCCGATAACTGTGATCCTCTCGCACCTCCGCACAGGGGCATCAACATCCCACCGTCTCACATGCCCAAACCATCTCAACCTCGCTTCCCGCAACTTATCCTCCACCGGCGCCATGCCTACCTGACGTCGGATAACTTCGTTCGAAATCCTATCCAACCTTGTCTTCCCACACATCCATCTTAACATCCGCATCTCTGCCGCATGCAAACGACGCACATGAGTCTTCTTAACCGCCCAACACTCTGCCGCGTATAACATAGCAGGTCTGACTACGGATCGGTAGAACTTACCTTTCATCCTGGGCGAAATCTTCAGGTCACACAACACCCCTGAGGCCAACCGCCATTTGGCCCAAGCCACTCCAACACGATGTCCAACATCCCCGTCTAATTCCCCATCTGCCTGGATTACCGAGCCAAGATATCGGAACCTGTCTACCTTAGGTACTACGTGAGAGTCAATCCTAACTTCCACTTCTGATTCTGTTTCCCGGCCGCTGAAACGACATTCCATGTATTCAGTCTTGTTCCTACTTATTCTGAATCCTTTAGTCT